TGCATGGTTGCACTAACAATTTTACTCCGATAAGGTAAGAACTTGCCATTTTCATAAAGGTTTAGATTAACAGAATTGGAAGGGACCTTGTAGGTCATCTAGTCCAACCCCCCGCCCAAGCAGGAGACCCTATACCCTAAAGGTGTTATGAGATAATTAGCTTTAAGCAGAGGATTGCAAACTGAGTGGTTTGTCACAGAATCATTCATTCTTCTTCAGGATGTGTAGATCTGAATATGTGAGAATATTCCAAAATTTTATATTTAGCCCAGACTGGCGCTATTGGTATCTTACTGAAACCTGTGTAGCTCTTGATTTTTTTTTTTTTATTTTGCCTATTTTGACATTAGTCTAGGGGTGGGATCCTACCAGCATAACAACTGGTTCGCTTCACACGCGTGCGCACCAAATGCGCGTTACTTTACAAATTACTGAGTCTGGCAAGCATTTGCTTGCTCCAGCTGACGAGCGGCACTCAGCTGTGCTGCGCAAAGCAGCGGAGGAGGGAAAAGCATGGAATAAAGCACAGTCTAGAGCCCGGGCAGGCCGGTGGGCCATACAGATGACCAGAAAATCGTCACAGCAAAGCAGTTTGGCGTCAGTTGCTCTTCAGATCTACCGGTTCTAGAGAACCGGACTGAACTGGGAGCAACCCACCCCTGCATTAGTCCTGGAAATTGTAAAAGAAATCTTCCCTCCATTCTCATCTGCAGTGAGTCCTTTAAGACAGGGTCTCTGAATAAACTGAAATGCTTTTTCCCAGGTTTCTTGATACCTGGGTGAAGTTTATGACATAAGCTGCCAAGGGACTCGCATTTGGTCTTTTGATTCTTTATGCCCAGTCATCTTTCCATTGTTTTGTCAGCCTCCCCATAATCTTCTATCATGACAGTGAACCATATTACATTCATGGGGGTGTGGATTGCATGGCTGAGCATGCTAGTTGGCATGGAGGCCACAGCTTAAGATTTTATTTTTTTTTACAAAATGATTCATTTAATTGAATAGCTTTTTCTCAGAGTGTCATAAAAGAGCTATAACTTGATTTGTTATGCTTTTAAATTACAAACATTTGAATATCAATTCCTTTAATAGTGTGTTTGCTGAGTAAATATTTTCTGAAAGCAATTTTGAGAAATAAGAATTTCTCACCATCAGGCAAGTGGAAGTACAGGAATACGCAGTTGAGATAAAAGGACGTTTCAGTCAATGGAGGGTGGATAAGATCTCGCAACTCACCTGTGTAATTTAGTTAACCAAACTCTGGCCTTTCATTTACTCATCTAAAATATTTATTTGTTTAATCTAAGGGAAGCAGTTTACAATAAAAATGAAATTTGGTGAATGTTTACACAAACATTAAAGAAAGTGTGCCTCTAGCAATCTGTCTTCAGCATCACTCTATTCTCATGTTAGCAGTTTGTACTCTTTTCAAAGTATCCTTGCACGAATATAGCTCTATGTAGATTGTGTGCATCTCTTTCAATAAACTCTCTTTAATCAGGCCTGTTAATCAGGACAAATAATGCATTGGATTTGAAGAACATGTTCATCTCCCAGTCTCCAGTATTTTCTGAATGATGATGCTTTGATACACCCCTCCCTCTGGCTATTCACACACAAATGCTAACAGAACATGCTGATGATTAATTTTAACTTGCTTTAAAAA